TTCAAATTTGTTCATTCACTAGATTTTTTTCACCACTCCTGCAAATTTCAATATCTCAGCTAAAAGAACTAATCGCTCGCTGTTCACTATTAGCTGCATCCTAGGCGATTCAAAGTTTAGTTACTTTATAGGTCGTTTCTCGAATATCCTACAAGTTCTGATGGCAATGAATGCTCTTTAGACAACTTATGGTCTGATTTTAGGAGCATTTCTTTGAAATAATCCATAGAATTTATCTTTAGTCGATGAGACAAATAAGCGACGTTTGAAAATGAAGAAAATTAAATTGATTGCGATAAGGAAACAATCGAAGCAACGTTATATTTTGAGAAAGCCTTAAAATGACACCTCTTGATAGCGACTTGTTTATAGCGACAACAATCGATATTGTCTTGACCACCCGAAGCGCATTCAACTATTGGTGCAACATGCAATATGCTACATTGTGCTTGATCCAATGCTTGTTTTATCTGCAAAAGATTCATATTCGAGGCATCCTANATATTTATCTCCTGGGTAATTTTGCAGTCGTATCGCCGGCTAGTTCTAGTTGAGCGATTCTTTGACTGTTTTCCGGTCATATCTCTCATGATTTTCATGCGACTCTGTAATCAGACTGCAGCAGCACTTCCAATGGAGGTTCCTTGTACGAGGGACTATTGTGGGAGTGTTAAAAAAAGATCGATTGAGTGTTTCAGAAGGGGTGCTCAACCTCAGCTTGTGTGACATCGTATTTGCACAAGTTTTGACAACCAATCGGGAGTAGTTTTGCTTGACAACACTGTAGCATTCGAGCGTTGGCTTCTGGCGTTGAGACGCACGGTATGAAATCAGGTGCAGTACCGCATTGTGCTGCTGTAATGTAAAAAGCGATCACTGTTGTTATTCATGCTGTTAAATTGTCTGCATAATTATGAAACACTCAAGTTTTTGATTTGAAGTTAAATTGATCGTTTGAATCTTTTCATGGAATTTCCTCGAGACTATGAAAAGGTGGAGGGTCGAAATTGCGGTATCTTTATTCAGTAGATTTCAATCTTCATTGAGATAACACTGTTTTAAACATTTGAATTCATATAGGTTTTGTCTGGAAAGAATAATCCTAATTATATACACTGTGAAAAGATCATGTCACGTCTCATACTGACAGTTTTTTATCTTTGAGATGCTTATTTTAAGGAATTGATCTGATGTAATCATTTTCTCTCGATTTTGCTTCATTTTTATCAAGCAGTCTCAATTTACCTGAACTAACAGCATCTCCGAATGAATTTGATTTCAAATTGGACTAACATACGTCGAGGCGTTGCAGTGTCTATTTCAGGGGTTATGAGTCGTTGTATTACGCTTGCAGCTGTCGTAGCAATTGGTGGATGAGTGAAGATTTGCGGTAACACTGGTAGTATTCGGGGTGGTACTTCTGGTCGAGGAACTAAAAAGAACTGCCGTTTTCGTTTCATTCTTGAAGTATCCCGTCACAAGTTCATGAGGTATGATAACGAGTGGCACTTGTTGCGGTAAATATAAAGTAAATGTACTTTCAGCAGTAAAGTAGTAATAGTAAATGTAATATAATCAGGCGGTAATATTACTGGCCAACAAACTGAAGTGTTACTAGCCATTTTTATAGCATTGACACAACAGTGATCTTAATAACATTAGATGATTTATGGACTTATAGATGTTACCCGTACGGAATACTTGTGTTTGGAGTTGTACCGTTGATATCAATGAACGAGAAGCATTCTGATTAGGCTAGGGGAATAATGTAGCAATGCTTACACTCCTATTGTAAGTAGCGCAAAATGGTAACTGATTGAAGGCATTTGAAAATTATAGCTATATTTTGAATACTCAGGTGAGTTATTCAATCAGAGTTATACCTTTAAAAATATCATTAGATCACATTAGACATTACTAGTAACTGGGTAATGTCACTTGCATAATGCGTAATATTATTTGCACTTCAACTGTGATGCACAATAACGCTTTCGCTTAATAGAATCCGAGTGAGTGCTATAATCTTGTGTTTTGCATTGTGATATGCTTATAGGCTGGCAACAACGATTGTAGCGAACGAGTGCTCTGCGATAGACGAGCGATTCGCACTCTGCATTCGCGCTCTGCCACTACACACTACAGAAAGCAATCAGCTGATCTAGTTTGATGTATGCTCGATGTGAATGAAGAACGTTTAGCTGATGTGAACAAATTTTGACATTTTCACTAAACAGCGGTTTTTTGTCGCGTTTTTACGCTTTTCTACAGAATTTTTCCTTGTTTTGTGCATTAGTTTCGCACTTTTTCGAAGCTTACAACAAGCAGAGCAGATTCGTGTGGAATTTCTTAGAGAAAAAGAAGGAAAAGAATAATTAGAGAAAGATGATGGAAAATTTAGTGGGTTGGAACCTTTGTGATGCGATGAACTCTTATTGAGGTTTGCATTCGAGGTTCGCATGTTTGGTGTTAATTTCAATGAGTCGATATTCAGCCATTTGCTATCGATTGTGTTGAAATGAGAGCGCAGCTCGTTGTGAGGTTTCACTTGAATTGACCATATCTGGCTCAGGTGAGCCACTGAGGTATGATGTGCTGTAAATACCGAGTGAATTAGGATTAGATTGGGCGCTTTCAGGTGTTCTGTGGTGCACCAGGTACGAGTGCATATGGCTATTCAGAGAGCTATGTCTCCGCTTTGAGAATTCAGTTATAGGCCAATCAGTAGCAATTTCTCGATAGAACTTAAAACTTTTTTGAGACATTGTTGACAGTTTGAAAGTATTTATTTCACTATGAACAACTGCTATTTCATCGGATTAATACACGCTTGAATCAGCGAGCTTTGCAAATTATCTTCAAAATTTTAACTTGCTGAAAAATCAGCAAGCAGTTCTCCTCATACGGAAATATTCATGATTGGATTAGCAGCAAATAACGTTGTTCTTTGTTATATTTGATATTAGGACAATCATTAATGTAATTATTGCTAGAAATTTTGTGAATTTTGCGATCGTTGGAATCGTTTTGCTTTTTAGTGATAGCTCATATTATTGATAGTAGCAATATGACCGTTTATTATTACCGTTTGAATGCTCGGTGTGTGGTGAGGTGGTCAGAAACGAGTTTTGTTGTGAGGATGGTGGTAGCAGAGCTATTGGTCTAGCGTTTTCGGATGAGTCGGATCCTCCCATAACCTCCATCGATTCTGGGAATATTTTCTCTGCGGACGGCGGAAGCCCTTTCGATTTTGCGATTATGCCACTAGAACTCGACCCGCCGCCGCTAGTTTCTTTATGGTAAGTTTCACCATCGTTCTTCCCGTTACGATATGTTATGATTGGACGTTGATTACTATTCAGCGAATCAATGCCTCGCTGATCAATGCTGAATTCGAAACCAGCTCCTGCAATGCAACAGGCTGCATGAGATGGCAAACCTGTATGGAATTACCTACGGAAATCCGAGATTCACAGTGCCTAGATTCGTTCATTGAAAGGGATCAATAGGTGCAGCTCGAGTGTGGCTTCTAGAATTCGGTTATCTTACACGTCTCAGGGGCGAGGTTCTGTCCTGAGATTGGTATCAGTTTGGTACGATTTGAAAACGTTTATGGAATTGGAATGTTTGCAGGGGATAACATGGATTCCATTCGACAAAAAATATCTGAATGGCAGGCTGACTGACCTTGTGAAATAAACGAAGGGAAAGATGATTCAGGTTCTGTGGGCACAGCAATTGTTGTTCGTTGGCCTGCAGGCTTCATTTGAGACAGTCGTTCTTGGAGCACTGCAATTATGCAGTCATTACAGTGATACATTTATTTTGATAGCAACTAAGTATTGAAACTGAGAGTATTTGACCAAAGAAATACTATGAGAGGAACAATAATTCTACTATTTTGAAGGTGTTTGACAGCATTCAAAGAATTACGAAATGAAACCTTTCTTGATGAACGTCCCATCGGCACAGTCTATGCCACTGCAGTAGGATGCACATTGTTGCTGAAGTCTTGACGTACAACACAGAGACTGTGGCATGCGTTCACACTCAAACTGAGCCTGATCAAATGTATCGTTGCCAGAGCATTCTATCAACAGACAGATCAGATGGAATATTAAAATTTTCAAATGATACATTTGTTCGAATAGCAAATTTGAGAAAGTCACCTGGAAATATCAAATTTCTTTTAGTGCAGAAAATATAGATGTAAATCACAGTAATCGTGTGAATCAGAATGAATCAATGAGGTTGTAGAATGTAGCTGGATGGGATCTTCGCTGTTGTTGTTGTTGTTATAGCCATTATTTTCTTATTTCACAACCAACTTATTTATCTCACAAAGGTGAGATATTAGAAATAAAGACGTCTTCCGTCATAATCTA